CTTTCTAAGTTATTGAGGGAGTGATATCATTATATATGTATTTTTATGGAAGGTCATAGGGAAGTTTTTAAAACATTTATACGGACAACATTTTTAATATATTCTATTTCCAGGTGTCTGAAATTTATGTCAGACTTAAAAGAACCTCCCACAACTCTTGATTAAAAATGCTATCTCTTATTTTCTTTGAAACTTTGATAAAAATTACACTTGAAGATATATATATATGTATATATATATGTATATATATGTATATATATGTATATATATATGTATATATATGTATATATATGTATATATATGTATATATATATATATATATATATATATATATATATATATATATATATATATACGTACATATATATATACACACATACACATATGTGCTTTTAACTGCTTAGAGGGTTTAGTTCAATCTAGTTTTTTTAACTAAATATTCTTATTAAATACATGTATTTTTTATTTTGTAAAATGCCTTTTTGGTATTTATGCCATGATACAATGCAAATCATACATTCCAAACTATGTTTTTAATAGTTCTGGTGCTTGTAAAACAGCTATGTAAACAGGGTCACTGAGCACTCTTGATAGGAAAATAATTATTGGATTGTAAGAATCTCAGAGAAACGGGCCCTTACTAAGATCCTAAAAATATCTCTTTCCTAAAATTCTTCTGTTCCAGGCCAGAAGTGAAGTGAATGGTTAGAGTCTTTCTCACATGCATTTGGAGAAAATCATATAAGCTGAGTGATGTAAACTGGCATAAGTTTCCCAAAGTGAAACAAGAATCTATATACTTTCTGCTTCTCTCTCTCTCTCTCTCTCTCTCTCTCTCTCTCTCTCTTTTGACAGAAGATCTCAGCACTAGCCAGGAGCAGAAACAAACAACTTCATACATCTTAGTGAAACAAAAGTCTTCACGGGGCCACATGGAAAGACATCATGTCATTAGTTGATATCCTCAAGGTAGTCTAAGGTGAAGGAAGGAAGGCCACCATAGTTAGCATATTGTCTTGTCAATTATTAACTCCTAATGCTAAAATTTTAAGAAGAACATAGATTTTCATAATATACTCAACCTTGGTATAAAATTTGAATGGGGATAACTGTAGAGCAGCAGGATGTGCTCTGACAATGGGTCACTGGAGCCCAAGGAGCTGATTTTAGTTATCCTGCTGGCTGGTGGTATCCAGGGCTCATATGTGCACATAGGGTCCCATGGCAGAAATAATATCAATAGCCTAGATCCTGATTAATAGATAATACTGTTACAAAATAAACGTTAGACTTAGATATTTTATTTATCTCTTTGCCTGCCAATAGGGTGCTAATATTACTTCTGGATAACTTAAGAGTTTTCATTTTCTGGGTTTGCACAATTAGTGGCAAAGTGGTGACTGGAACACAAGGCTCCTGGGGAGTCTGGATGGCTCAGTCAGTTAAGTGTCCAACTTCAGCTCAGGTCATGATCACACAGTCTGTGAGTTTGAGCCCCACATCAGTCTCTGTGCTGACAGCTCAGAGCCTGGAGTCTGCTTCAGATTCTATGTCTTCTCTCTCTCTGCACCTCCCCTGCTAATGCTCTGTATCTCTCTCTCTCTCTCTCTCTCAAAAATAAACATTAAAAAATTTTTAAAAAACCCACAAGACTCCTATTCTAGTGCTCTTTTTCTCCCTCATAGTCTTTAAGGTGAATCTGCAAAAGCTGGAGAGCTCCAGTCATTCCAGAGACTTCTCCCAACACATAACTCCCGTGTTCTCATATAGCCAACGTCTAAGGTCGCCATTACAGTCAATCTGTTTTCCTATATGGTCGCTGGAGCAAGCCAGCTGGCCACTCCAGCAGGGGCCTGAATTCTCTGAAGCAGAATTTACTTCAAAGGAACACTCCAAGATATTTCTTTCCTAGGAAATACTTTTTATCAGGCAACATGAAATTTAGGTATTTCCTGAAGAAATCTGTTCCACTTCCATAAATTGAATGACATCACTGGATTCCATTTCCCTCAAATGCTGACATTCACTTTAATGCTACTCAGCTGTGATCCGATAAAGATTCTCTACACAGGAGAGACAGGTGGACATAGGCTTGAAAATAAATGTTAAATCAGGCAACTGGGAGAATTTTAGAACCATCTCCCAGGCCAGGAGAATTAAAGTATTTGGGGAAATGATAAGACATAGAGATGATTTTATGTTTTCTGTTGTCCTCAAGTTCATGAATGATATATTTTCCAATATTGTGTGTATTCTTTCTTCTTTTCTCTTTTTGCAATTACTTAAATTTGGCAAAGAAAGATAATTGATATTCATAGATTTCCAGTTATCAGCCACTCAAAAAAAAAAAAAAAAAAAAAAAAAAAAAAAAAAAAAGATCTGTTATCTTTCTGAGTCAAGAAGGGACAAATTCTCTTTTGAATTTAATGCATGGCATATCTCATCAACAGTATGCTAAGCTAAAGTTAGGATCAAAAGATGAAGTCCTTCTTACAGCTCATGATGGTGATTGAAAAAAAATAAGTCAGATCCTAATTTTTCAATTATTCATATCCACCTCTGCTGTTCTAGCATGTACCCCACTGGTGACAGAAATTGTCTCTTAACAGAGTATCCCCACCATCTGTCCAACAATCCCCTGCCTTCAAGTCTAAGCTAGAGTGTAACTTCTCTGAAACAGTGATTTTCTGGGGCACTTGGGTGGCTCAGTTGGTTAAGAGCCCAACTCTTGGTTTTAGCTCAGGTCATGCGCTCGCAGTTCATGTGATAGAGCCTCCTTGGGATTCTCTCCCCCACCCCCCCACCCCCATTTCTCCCTCTCTCAGAATAAATAAATAAACTTAAAAAAAATTAAAACAGTGGTTTTCGAATGGTAGCGTACATCACAGTCACCTGGGCAATTTCTAAAAACAGATTTTTGAGCCCTTCCTCTGGAGTTTCTAATCAGCAGGTCTGGGTGAGACCTGAGTAATTTTATTTTTAACAAATCCCCAAGGGATGTTAATTGGGATGACTCCTGAAACAAACATTCAGAATTACTAGTCTAAAACATAAAACTAGCCACAATCCTGCAAAATGTCCTTCAGAGGCCCCTTAGCCCCCATAGTTTAAGTTCGCTAACACAGGTCACATGGCTTATCATCATCTGCGTCTTCCCAAATTCTTATGTTTGATCTCTAACATACCCTGCCTCACGTGGCATGTTCATAAAGGTTTAAAATCTGGCTGTTCAGGGTGTGGCTCACACACATGTATGTTATGTGTGTGTGTGTGTGCGTGTGTGCCTACACAAGCATGAGATTATTTTACTGATAGAAACATGTAGACACAATTTGCAAATAACATACGATAACCTTTATTGTAAATGCCATGTAACCAATTGATTCTTATAGAATGCTTTTGTTGATTTTTCACTGAATTCATTTATCGGTGATCACATGCAGTCTCTGTCACATACGCTTTTATTTAATTTTTAAAATAAATTTTAACAACCCTTTACAAATGTAAATTTTATTCTTAACTCACAGGCTCCAGGAAAACAGGCTTCAAGCCAGACTTGACCTACAGGCTGTAGTTCACAAATCCCTGGTCTGGGCAATTTACATAACAATAAACCAAGCCCTAATTTATAGCATTTGCCCAAATCCCTGGCACAAATATACTCACCATGGTGGATTTCAAACTACCAAAGGGATGTCACTGAATATGAAATTGGGAAGAGATGTACTGTAGCAAACCCAATTTACAGTATTTTTACCACACAAATACAACAGATATAAAAAACCTCAAGAGTACATATAGATAGATGCATAGGTAGGTAGGTTGGTGGATAGATGGATAAATTGATATAACATAGTAAAATAATTAGGAATTAATGAATGCATTACTTTTAAAAATACTTCAGTGAATTATTAGTTTATTTAACTTAATTTTTAAAGTCCGTGTTTGCCATCCAGTTCACAAAATTCCTGAAAAATCTACCAGTTGGCCCTCATGCGTCAATATCAGCTGGTCCAACATACCATTGCCTGTCTATTGTTTCAAACCCGATAAATACTGGACTGTGATATCTCATGCCTGGCCTGGCCTGCCTTTCTAACCTTCGTCATCAGGCTAGTGCTCTTCTTCTTTCAAGACTCAAAAGTGTCTCTTTCCGGATGCCTTCCAGGTCTCCCTAGGTTGAGGCAAATACCCTCTTCCCAGTATCCCTGCAATGCCCCTCACTTCTCCCCCCAGTAGGTTTTACTCCCTTATGCCACAGCAGCTCATCTCTGGGTCTGGGTCTGCTACTGGACTGTATGCTTCTCCAACTCAGGAACTCTGTCTCAGCCATCTCTGTATGTTGATGGCTTGCTTAAAACAAAGTCCAGTATACAGCTGGGGCACAATACTTATTGAACTGAACTACTAGCCAAGATAGATAACTGTTGGCTGTCAGTTTGCAGAATTTTGTGCAATCTTCTTTGTGTTGTAAGTCTGGTGCATTTCATGGTGCCTCTTGTATAAGAAAGCAAGAAAGAACCAACTGTCCACATGTATTGTCAAAAGTTTGCACAGGAATGAAGGTTAAAAACAAGTGCATATCATGTGGATTTCAGATTCCTTTGGATGTTGTTTACCTTTCTTTTTTTAAACCCAGGTATTACTGACAAATAATATTGTATTAGTATAATTTCTGTATCTCCCCAGCTATTCTCAAAATTGATTTTTGAAAACAGTCCAGCTGAGTGTAACTACGAGACTACACAGTGATCCAGGAAGGCTACAAGCAGAACACATCTATAAAAGTGAACAAGGAGATTTCCTGATTTTAAAATGCACACAATTTGCTAAAGCCCCATTACTGCCAAGGCATGTACCCCACATCCATGGGTCAGATGCCTTCCTTGGACTCTTCCACTGAAGGCTGCCTGAGCAATTCTCTCCATTGCTCTTCTGTTGGCCAATTTTTACTGATACTGAGCAAGGGGCTTGGGGACCTGCGGGGAGAGTCAACTCACCTCATAGTCGATGTCTAGGGCATCGGCCTCACCCTTGGTGCGGAAATGCTGCGTGTGCTTGTCCACCGTGAAGTTCACCTGCTTGCCAACCCGCTCAATAAGGACTGAGTGCCAGTGCTGGTCATCCAGCAGACTGCCAAGGGTGGCCGAGGGTGGGCTGCTACTGAGCCGAGGTTTGCTGTCATCTGTGAAGGAGAGAGGAAGACGGGATGGCATCTGTGCACAAGGGCAGTCTTGAGTATGGGAACATTCTGCAAGCAATGCCAGCTCTATATCCTAACGGTCAACCATGATTCTCCCTCCACAGGCCCAGGACCGTGCTGTGCTTATAAGAAAATAACAAGGTATGCCCACAGATTCAAAGAACAAAATCTAGGTCAGATGATAAACACATCCCCTTGTAGACATGAAAGGACACGTTTGCAGAATGTGAACAATTAAATAATAAAATAAACCATATCCTAATGGTCATCAATCATATCGAAAACAGAGGGTATCACAGTTAGAGATAATGCACATACGTTGTGTTTGAACGACTCTAGAATGAAGAAAACGAATCTTGAGTTATGCCTTGGAGGAAAAGTGAATTCTGGAGAAGTAAAGGGAAGGCAATGGGCACACTGAGTTAGGTTAAGTCTGCGGTCAAAGGCAACGATGAGGAAATCATCACGTCCGCTGCCATTTTCAAGTGCCTACTATATTATACAAACAGCACATAAGTAGGAAGCTTATACCCTTCATCTTTAATCCTCTTAGGGAAAATTATTATCTGAATTTCACAAATAAGAAACTTGAGGATCAGTGAGGTTAAGCACCCATGACCCAGAGATGTAGCCAGCATTCAAATCCAGGTCCACCTGAGCCTTTTTACTCTGACGATAGTATGGGTCATAGGCATTGATTCAGCCGAAATGGAGCTTGGACAGCCCTCAGGAGAGAGGGACCATGAGAGATTCCGGTGAAGAAGTATATTTTTCCATCAAGTTGGGCTTGTTCGCCCCCCACCACGTCCCTCCTCCAATTTTTATGGAAGTTCCTGCCAGTACCTTTTGTCCAAAAGATTACAGCATTTTTTCCTTAGAACAGCTCAGATTTAGCTAAATGAGCAGTTAAATGCAATTAATTATGACTTATATATAAACTTTCAAGTTTTTGAGTGCTTTATTATTCGGTCCCCTTAGAAACTGAAAGCTGAATGTCTTCCTCCTCTCTTCTAAGTCATGTTTTACCAGAGTGCTGTAACAGCATGCTCAACAATGTGGCATTAAGGGGGCAGGAGCTGCCATTTCGCCCGTAGGCTGCTCACTCCCACCTTCATTATGGCCCCAAGGCACTGCTTCCTTCATAACACTTGGTTGCTTCAAATGGGGGTGGTGGTGGGCATCAAATTTATTGTAATTGAAAAATGATAGGTGGTGCATTCATAGCTGACATTATTTCATTGATTTGTTCATTATCCCACGTTGTGAGTTCTTGCCATTGGTGAAATTATGCTAACGATTAAAAGATATTTTTTTCTTTCTCCCTCCTCCCCTCACCTTCTCCATTCCTTCTTTTTTTCTCTCCTTCCTTCCTTCCTTCTCCCCTTCCTTACTCCCTCCCTTTCTTCCTTTCCTTCCATAAAAAGGCACTGATACCAGGGCACTTGGGTGGCTCAGTGAATTAAGCATCTGACTCTTGATTTCAGCTCAGATCATAATCTCATGGTTCATGGGATCAAGCCCAGGATTGGGTTTTGTGCTAATGGCACAGAGCCTGCTTAGGATTCTCTTTCTCCCTCTCTCTCTCTCTGCCCTTCCCTTACATGTCATGTGCTCACTTTCTCTCTTTCTCAAAAATAAATATATAAACATTAAAAAGAAAAAAGGCACTGATATCTACCTGTGCTGGCTATAGTGATATATAGTGGCATGTGATATGTAAAGGAGATAAAGGAGATACAGAGTTAAAAGGCTTATTTCCCTCCTTGAAAGTCTTAATGTGGAGTCTCTCAATAAGTAAATTGATAAAAAGTATGCTGCCGGTATATAGCATTTAGTGCCAGGAGCCAAGCAAATGCAGGCTAGGCAGCTGTGAAGCTCCAATGGAGCAGTGACAGGTTTAAGATTTGGCTGGAAGAAGGAACACCCCCACACAGCCAGGAGAAGCACGTGCCAAGGCTAGGAGATAGAGGGGAACGTGGTAGGGGAATCCACGCAGCAGTGTGCCATGACCACACCAGCCTGGCTTATATCATCTGGGAATAGTGTGCTAGTGTGTGCGACATAACCATGCATTTCATTTACCTTTAAGGAATGGGCATGTGGTCAATTAGTAAATCAGAGATTACTAACTCAGAGTTACATCTAAGAAAGCAATTTATTAATTTATTAGGAACTCAAATCACATTGAGGGTGAGAGAGGAGCGTCTTGGAATTTTTGTTGTTGTTTGCTTACTCTTATATAAAAAAGATTATTTTGGCAGCTGTATGAGAATTTGATCAGAAGGCAAGTAAGACTGGCAGTAATCAGATGGGGGACCCAGGGGCTTAGGAAAAGAGAAGGCATAAAGGATGCATTTCCAAGTGTAATAAGGAGCTAACATGTGGCAACTTCACTTGGATATTTTCCCTTGGATATTGGAGGGGGAAGTAATAAAGGAAGAGTTCCCTAGGGATGACTTTTAGTTTAGTTTTTTTTTTTTTTTTTCTTGAGCAGATGCATGAAAAGTGGTACCAGTCATGAGATAAGAAAGAGCGAGAACATCTCCCTCTCTATCTTGCTCTTTTTCTCTCTCTCCCCATAACACACACACACACACACACACACACACACACACCCTTTATTTTTAAAATAAAATTTTTCTAAAGGCTAATGAACTATTGAAGGAAACTTAGTGTGCCTTATAAACAGTTAGTTCCAGGTAATAAGCCACGTGAAATTAATAGTAGAGATTTCACTTTGGTATGTGCCTCAATTTTTTTCTTAAAAATTAAAAATGCATGATGTAACAATTATTTCTAAACAGTAAGTCACAAACATTAAACATTTGAAAATGTAAAGCCACTGCAAGTCACAGAATGAAAAAAAAAAGGAAAAGGAACCATATCCTTTCTTCCTACTTATTTATTCTATGTGCTGCTTTTGGTGGGTTTTGGAGATATACTGAGTTCTTTAATAAAGCCAAGGATAATGATTAAAGCAAAGTATTTAAATATTTTTGTCTGTACTATTATTCCAGCTTCCAAAGGTGAATTTAATTACAAATGGGTCAAAGTGACTATATATATATTTTAACTTTCTGGATTCAGTAATGAATCTTCCTCCATCCTTGCCTCCATATGCTAATCTTCCATACATGTCCTATAAGGAATTGCTGTTATTAATGTCTTCTTTCTCCTTCCAGGAAAAACCTGAGGCATATGCAAGCCAGTGTGTGTGTATACACACACACACAATTTATTTATATATACACATATATATACTTTATATATATGCACTCTGTATGTATATATAACTTATATGTACATATATACTTTATATAAATGCAATACATACACACATTAAATACATGCATATATAGCAATATATGCAAGACTATATACGCACATATGCACACATATACATATGCAAAGATATTCTTTATTTCTCCTCATTAATGTTTTACCTTAATGATGAAATACAGTGCACAACTTTTGTGTACCTTTTCATTTTCCCTTAATTTATCCTCGGAGTTTTCTTACATCAGTATATAAAAAGCTGCCTCATTCTTTTCTGTAGCCGCATAGCATTCCATTGAATGATATATGTGATATGCATTTTAACCAGTTTCCTATGAATAAATGTTGAAGCAGTCTCTCTATTATTGATACTTAAAACTTCTCAAATACCTTGTATGTAGACAGCACTTTGGATGTGTGTAGACAGCACTTTGGATTTCTGTAACATGCATTCTTAGGTAAGGATCTGGTGGTCAGAAGTTTTCACATATGCAATTTTGACAGGTACTGTCGAATTGTCCTCTAGGAAAGTTGTGACAATTCAAACTCCTACCAGCAAGTTATGAGAGGCATTCTTCTGCACAGGCTTGTCAAGAAACTATGTTCAAGCTTTTGGAATTCTGCCTGTCTAACAGACAAAAACAGTATATTTCTGAACAGTTTTAATATACATTTCCCTTAAAGTGAATGATTTTGAAAATATTTTCATTTTTAATTCCTTTTTATGAACTATTTCCTCACATTTCTTGCCTATTTCTTGTGTCAAATTCCTTATCAATTTGTATTTAGTCCATTGTCTGTAATGTGAATGATGCCAATACCTTGTTGCTGTTCTTTGTTTTTTGCTTTCACTTTAAATTTTTTTTTCTATTTTTAAATTTTTTTTGTCATTCAGACATTCTTGGTTGAAAAAGCCACCATTTTCTTTTTCATTTATGGCTTGTTTTATGTATTTTTGTTATACTTTAATGCCCTTCCATTTTGAGGTCATTAAAGAATTCTCCCATTTTTTCCACTTCATTTCATTTGAATTTTATTCCGATGCATATGACATAAGGTAGAGTTCCTCCTTTATTTTATCTTCTTAAAGCGTATTTTAATTTATTTTAAGAGATAGACAGCAAGCAGGGGAAGGGCAGAGAGAGAGAGAGAGAGAGAGCAAGAGAGCCAAGTAGGCTCCCCTGTGTCAGTGCAGAGCCAGATGCATGGCTCGAACTCACAAACATGAGATCATGACCTGAGCTGAAACCAAAAGTCAGAAGCTTAACTGACTGAGCCACCCAGCACCCCCTATTTTGTCTTTTTAAATAGCTAACTATATGTCCCTGATCCGTTGTTTTAAAATCCTTAGGTGATTTTTTTTTTTTTTAAGTAAGCCAGGTGTACAACTTCCAAATGTAATACTAAATTGGATGATTTGATATGTTACCCTGATTGGATCAAGGTTCTCTGGGCATGTATATTGGGATCTTTAAATTCTGAAACTTCAAGGAGTAAATTTCCAAGTTGGCTGCTACCACCATAGTCTACCTACTTCTATCCACTGGAACCACCATCACCACCACTGTCATGCCTCAGAACACCTGGGAAGAGGAAGTAGCTTCTGTAATCCCATCAGTACATACCCTCATCAACATTAAAGTCAGCCTTCCTCTCCCACACCCTAATCTTACTGCACCAAGTTTGCTATTTCAGCCAATAATCCT